CATCGAAAAAACGGTTTTATGTGGACATGAAAATGCAATAACTAGCTTTCAATAGAGCTTACTCCACCACAGTTTATACACACATGCAAGTGCCACATGAAACAAGCATTTAGTCCCTATTTCACTAGAGCAATCGCACTTGAATCAGTTGTATATATTTAAATATTTACATGTATTTAAAGGGATTATAGTCGTTAGTGGCTTGTCATGATCCCCGCTCCCCTTCCGCCGCTAACGAGGTTATTAGGTGGTTCAACTGTGCAATTACAGAATTTAAAGTCTGTTATCATCTTGAGACAGAGATGCTGGGTCTTAAGATGTGATGCCAGGTGCTTAGAGTAGATAGCTCCGCTTGAGGAGAATCTTAGCTCTGTTACCCGTGGACATCTTCAAGAGGAAACTAGATTGTTTCCTCCAAGGAGTGCCGGACCAACCGGACTGTGATGGGTATGTGGGCCTGCGGGCCGCTCCAAGCAACAGCCTGGTGGACCAAACTCTCACAAGTCAAGTCTGGCCTCGGGCCGGGCTTGGGGAGTAGAAGAACTCCCAGAACCCCATCAACCAGGTATCAACCAGGTACCCCAACCCGCACACCTCAACAATGAAGAGACAGCCAACGTTTCGGCCCCGTCGTTATCAAGCCGTGGAATGGCCCGAAACGTTGTCAGTGTATCATTTTGTGGATGAGTAAAGGGGGGGGTACCAACTCATCAGTCGCGTTATTGTGACTCATCGTCTGCAATCTGTCTTAGATTTCTTGATAGTCATATTGTCTACTATTTTTGTCTTATTTTTAGGTATCAGTACTGTTTCCATGTCGTCAAAGTCTTTATGAGAAATATTTTTATAGTGTTTATCCTCCTAGTTATCCCTTGAAGAATGTATTGTTGAATGTAATCCTTCTCATATATATATATGTGTATATATATATATATATATATATATATATATATATATATATATATATATATATATATATATATATATATATATATATATATCTGTATGGTATATATTATTATCAGACATATCATAATCGTATCTTCAGAGAATATATTTTTTATCGTATTCTTCAACTTATATTATACCTTGCATCATGTTTTAATTTCAGGCTCAAGCGTTTCTGCCAAACTTTCTTTCTCTTCTTTTTATCTATCGGATACTTAATTAGTGAGTGTAAATTACATACTCGAACACACACACACACACACACACACACACACACACACACACACACACACACACACACACAACACACACACACACACCACACCTGCACACCTGTTGATTGACGGTTGAGAGGCGGGACCAAAGAGCCTGAGCTCAACCCCCGCAAGCACAATTAGGTGAGTAAAACTAGGTGAGTACACACACACACACACACACATCAGTTACATCAGCTGACTGACGGTTGACAGGCGAGACCAAAGAGCCTGAGCTCAACCCCTGCAAGCACAACTAGGTGAGTACACACACACACACAAGCATATATATCTACAATCAAAAACAAAACAAATTTAAAACTAGAAAATAAACATGAAATTTACTTTGGCATAAACCTGGAGAATGAGGCGAAGGAGGCGGGTGATGACTGGAGCAGGAGACTAATGCAGGTGTTGCTACACCAACTAGGAGAGCAAACAGAAGACGGCGTGCAAGATCAAGCCCTTGACGGACACCCGTTAAACTCAACTAAGTAAGTGCTTCACGTGTAATTAACAGCCTTCACGTCATCAGCCTCAACTTCAACAATTGCTTTCAGAATTCAAATAATACGCTATGTACCATATATTAATATAATTTAAGCTTGCATATTACTGTACTAGTTATCTAGTCCAAAGTTTATGAGGTGTATAGAGGGAGAGGTGTTGACCAATCCACACACTAGAAATTGAGGGGACGACGACGTTTCGGTCCGTCCTGGACCATTCTCAAGTCGATTGTGACTTGAGAATGGTCCAGGACGGACCGAAACGTCGTCGTCCCTTCATTTTCTAGTGTGTAATCTGGTCAACATACTTCAGCCACGTTACTGTGACTCATCGCCTGCAGAGGCAGAGGTAGTTAAAATTGGCAATGTTGGTCCGTAGACTAACTTCGCGGTCCCTCGGAAAGCCGTAAAAAGAATATCTCGTGTTCGTGTTGATCTACAGGCTATAGTTGCAGAGTTTGTCAGTACAAACTACTGATCACATGACCATGTATGACACCATGGGGCCCTCTCTATAGTCAGGGCTACCCACATAAATGCAGATGTACTTAATTAGCTTAAAAAAAAAGGAAACCAAAATAGCTATAAAAGTCTTGTTCTTCTAAACGTAGCCACTTCAAACAATTGCGTCCTGTATTAAAAAGCCTAAAATCTCACGAACATTATGTCTCCACCGATGGCTCGGTCCAATCGGCCCAACCACTTGGGTTGGACGGTAGAGCGACGGTCTCGCTTCATGCAGGTCGGCGTTCAATCCCCGACCGTCGAAGTGGTTGGACACTATTCCTACCCCCTGTCCCATCCCAAATCCTTATCCTGATCCCTTCCCAGTGCTATATACTCGTCATGGCTTGGCGCTTTCCCGACAATTCCCTTCCCTTCCCATTCTCTCTCTTGTCTAGTTCACTTACATTCCTCCATCTTTCCCTCTCAAATGTTCTATACATTTATTTGAAATCTTATATTAAGTTAATATGATGTAAGGTACAAAATCAATCTCTCTCTCTCTCTAAATTAATATCACTGACAATATCATTCATAGTTCACATCTGCAACATGTGTATAATACCATATCTTCCCGTCCTTCCTCAACACCAGTTAATTGGGATTACGGTCAGAATCTAATTAAAACTTGTATTAGCGTTCATGGAGCGCCTAATAACGGCAGCCATTGTGCAACATTTGTGACTTTTTGGTAACTTTTGGTTTAATATTTAATAAGCGAATAGGTAGTTTATATATATATATATATATATATATATATATATATATATATATATATATATATATATATATATATATATATATATATATATGCAAACAAGCCTGAACGGTCTCCAGGCATATATGCAACTGAAAACTCACACCCCAGAAGTGACTCGAACCCATACTGCCAGAAGCAATGCATCTGATGTAGAGGATCCCTTAATCACTCGACCAACACGACCGGACAAAAGAGGATGGTAGCTGAGGCTAATTCCCATCCCCCCGCCGGCACTCTGTTGGTAATTTTGGGCATGGTATTTTATCAAATCACCTCATTCTTTGGGGCACACGAGAGGAATACAAATGCGAACAAATTCGAACACAGTCAGCCAGGAGGGACCCCCGTACCCCTTATCATTTCTAGGACGGTAACCACTCAGCTCCAGACTGTACTGGAAGGGAAGTCGTCAAACTTATGTGATCTAGCAGCCTCAGCCAACGCAGATATATATATATAT